ATTGAATACTAGGTTTTACTATTTAACATTTGGGCATCCTATTATTTTAACACAATATTGACCTAATTAAAAGGGGGGGGGGATCACCCACTCCATACACGCTCATACCACAACCCGTTCTCGCACTTTCTTTAAGTCAATATTGATTTCTTTTAATAAGTGCATATGTGACATACTAATTTATTGTGAATATTTTAGTTTACCTTGAAAAGCTTCATAGAAACACCGACCTTACCTAACCTTCTTAGTATGTTAAGATAAGCATCTTATTGCTTCGTAATTACAATTATTACTTAACCAATTATAAGTATAGGCTAAGTAATAATTGTAATTACGAAGCAATAAGATGCTTATCTTAACATACTAAGAAGGTTAGGTAAGGTCGATGTTTTCTATGAAGCTTTTAAGGTAAACTAAAATATTCACAATAAATTTGTATGTCACATATGCACATATTTAATAAGTCAATATTGACTATAAGAAAGTGCGAGAACGGGTTGCATACCATACATGGCTAAATGGTTCAGATTCCACTAACTCGTCACCACTAAGTCACACTTCTGGTTTAAGACAATGCATAACTGAACTCTCACCTTCTCAACTCAGATGGATGGACCCTGAGGGTGCCTGGGTGTCACCCGTCAGGTTGGGAAAGCTAGCTAGTCACCTTCTCACTGTGCAAGGCGGTTGCTAACTCTCAAACCACCTCGCTGGCCGAGCCAGGGGTGGGATACTCTCGCAAGCCAGTACAACAGGCTCCTTGTTGAATAGTACTCACGTCAGCACAAGCTGGACTGGCTCGCTCTTCCACTACCATCTTCTGTATCAATAACCCAAGGACCCCTTTAGAAGCCAATGGACTCATTCTTCCCCAGAAAAGGAGCCAGTTACAAACAAACTGCCCAACGGGGCCAAAAGAACAAAAGCCCTGACGCTGGAGGAAAGCACAAAGTTTGCCCAGCTGACAACCATAGGCAAGAGAAACAAAGAACCACTCCCCAAAAAATCCCAAACCAAAGGGGACACCATAAAATGAGCAGACTAAAGAAAGAACACGATCGAGAGACCAGGCAGGTTCAGATGGTACATCAGCAAGCCTGAGGTGAAACAATACACGAGACAGCTCGCAAAACAGAGCTGAGGTAGTATTGACCCCAAACGCAAGCTGCAGCAGCTTCGCCAAAGCCACATGATATGAAGTGAGGCTTAGGGGAAAATATTGCCAGAAGTGGACATCATTAAGAAAAAAACTGCATAGTTTTCTTCAAGAACTGTCAGACCAACTGGGCTGTAGTGGATACGTGGGTCTGTGGGCTGCTCCAAGCAACAGCCTGTTGGACCAAGCTCTCAAGTCAAGCCTGGCCCCAGGCCGGGCTTGGGGAGTAGAAGAACTCCCAAAACCCCATCAAGGTATGAGGAGACAATATTCACCAAAGAATGCCAATCAAGAAAAAGCCAAGACAGAAATAAGAGAACCACCCACTCAGACACAGAAGAATAATGAAGGGACAAGAAGTGGCAAAACGAACGCCACGACACCTCATACTCATCCTAACATCTCATGACACCTCATTCCATCCTAACAGGTGGAATGCATTAGGCAGTGATGTGGTGGAGGCTGACTCCATACACAGTTTCAAGTGTAGATATGATAGAGCCCAGTAAGCTCAGGAATCTGTACACCAGTTGATTGACAGTTGAGAGGCGGGACCAAAGAGCCAGAGCTCAACCCTCTCAAGCACAAATAGGTGAGTACTGTCACCTCGAGGAAGACGGTAGGTGGGGCATCATCAACTCGGTCACCTAATCAGTATTCATCATAAAGATGGCAATAAACATGCATCAAAAACTGTAGAAATGAAGATTAGGCGAGAAGGCTGAACCAGCAAAGTATGTCACTGGTTCTACCGTCTGATAGAGGAGCCGTAGAAAAATGCTTGACTTCGGACACTGAGCAAGAAGCACCAGAAACCAAGGCTAAGCCGGCCACCAAGGAGCCAGAAGGATCACCCTTTCCCTATAGGACTCAAATCGTGCCAGAACCCAGAGCAACAGCTGGACTGAGGGAAGAAATATAGGCACTCCCATCTTGACCAGTTCAGCTGAAAGGCTTCTACAGTGAGGGCCTTGTGATCAAGGTATGGCGCCGCACACAGAAGATGATGCCAAGACCCTGCAGATAAGAGGTCCACGTCTAGGTGCCCAAACATCCTGTGAGAGTCAAAGGAAGGTGGCGGAATCGATGGTCCCCTCTGTGGAGATGGGAAGGAACCAGGACAGACCATCAGCAAGGATGTTGGACACTCCATGGATGGCATGGAGAACCAAACCCTGAGAACCCAGCTGACAAGATGCATGCCGAGTCCAGCTCCAATGAGGCAGGGATCAAAGCAAATCTCCCGGTTGAGACAATGACTCACGTGGGGGGAACAGTCTGAATGGAGCTGGACTACACAGAGTCTGGAAGAATCCGAAAACTGCAGCATATGCTGTAGTTTTCGGATTGTGCACTGTACTGTGCACCCGATGAAGGGGTGGAAACCAAAGACCCCTGGCCAGTTTGGTGAGTGATGGTCACATAGTCACAACTGAGAACCGAGGTGTCTGTAAAGACATCGAGAATGGATTGAATGGAAGAATGGATTGAACAGTGCTCACTCGCTTGGTCCTTCGCCGGTTGTTGTGTCAGTGGTTTCATCTCCAGGCTTTTTGAAGTTCAGTCCGCTGGCGCCATCCCGAACGCACTGAACTTGTTCAGTGCGTTCAGGATGGCACCAGCGCACCTGAACTGAACAGTTCAGCGCACCTGAACTGGCACAATGTGCAACCCTCAAATTCACACAAAGTGAGAACGGGTTCGGGCCTGAAAGAGGATATCCACTAGAGCACCAAACCCGTAGGAGATTTCCAGTAACCCTACAGCAACCCCAGGCACTGGGAGGTTATCTTGAGATTATCTCGAGATGATTTCGGGGCTTAGCGTCCCCGCGGCCTCGCCTCCTTTTTGTTACACACACCCTCACGAAGCAGCTGTCTAACGCCCCAGGTACCTATTTACTGCTAGGTATGCAGGGGGCGGCATCAGGGTGAAATAAAGTCTGCCCATTTGTTTCTGCCTCCGCCAGGGAGGCGGACCTATATAATTGTATAGGCTCCCAAAATATTGATATAGATAAAATAGTAAACCAACACAGCCAGACTTTTACCGTGATGAAGAGTGTCCGGTGCCTGGTGTAGGCAGCTCGTGACCCCAGCCTCACACACCACCCAAAAATACCCATGTTACCTTCTTCAGAGAGAAAGTAACATTATTCATCTCATTGTTGCCGGCTCAGCTGGAGAAGTGACATATACGCTTGCCCGCAGACAGGGAATCATGGTAGTCTCAATTAAAGTCACTGAACACCGCCGAAAGCATAACTATATCTTTGCACACACACACGAACCATATTCCTTGAAATGTGGTCACAATAATGTTTATATATGTCACTCAGATGGTATATAAAACATTAAATATTATTAATAAATATGTAAACAACATCAATATTAGTTACATCGCTACTCTCATCAATCCGACGTCACGTATCAACTATTTAAGTTTTACTTTCTTACAAAATGAGTTCATATTGAAGTAAAATTATTTTTTTCCCAAGTTCTACAATCAGCACCAATACTGTAGTAAACAAATATGTTATACAGGCGATGAGTCACAATAACGCGGCTGAAGAATGTTGACCAGACCACACACTAGAAGGTGAAGGGACGACGACGTTTCGGTCCGTCCTGGACCATTCTCAAGTCGATTGTCACAAGTCACGATCGACTTGAGAATGGTCCACGACGGACCGAAACGTCGTCGTCCCTTCACCTTCTAGTGTGTGGTCTGGTCAACAAATATGTTACATTTCAAGAGATACCTCATTTTTAAGAGATATTTCTAAGAGATACCGGGTGGCTTCATTGACAAAACGGTTATCTTTGCTCTCTGATAAGTTATATTCCCAAGTATAGATTCATAACAACTGTTATAACTCTGTCGTCTGGGTGGCATATAACTCTTTAAGTATTATTAGCAGATCTCTGTTCATTACAGAATTGATTGTGAGTATGGGGTAGGGTTCCAGGCTCGGAGGGCTGAGACCAGGTTCCACTCACAAATACATACTCTCTCTCTCTCTCTCTCTCTCTCTCTATATATATATATATATATATATATATATATATATATATATATATATATATATATATATATATATATTCTACAAAACCAAGAAGACTTCCGAACTCCTTATCAAAAACAGCCCGAAGCCGACGGAGAACCCTCTACAGCAGTCAAGCGTTGTATACATGTACACTTGCCCCCACGAAGGATGTAACCTTCAATGTAAGTACATAGGTATGACGTCGACCAAGCTGACGAGGCGTTTGACATGCCATCTTCAATCTGGTGCCCCTAGGAATCACATGAGACAAGCCCATGACATTACTCTAACAAGAGAAATGTTGAACAAGAATACTTGCATAATAGACAAAACCCAAGATTCAAGAAGATTACAAATTCTTGAGGCAATTCACATAAGAATAGAGCGACCTACCATGAACACCCAAATCACGGAACTATTTACTCTACCCACCATGAGAGTAAGGACAAGACAAGAACATATCGATGCCAACACAGAAGACAATGTCCAACATAACAGGCCAATTACACTGGATTAATCTTTGTGTTTAGATAGGAGATGCCTCGTATGGGCCAATATATATATATATATATATATATATACAAAATATATTCAAAAATATATACAAAAAATATTCAAGGAAGGGGGTGGTAGGAGAAAAGCACACAGAAACTGTATTGGAGGGGATCTAAACATTCCCTCTAATGCGTTATGCGTGGTTTCCTCCGAGGCTATGGGTCCCCCTTCTTCCAGCTAGAGGTGGTACTCCCTTCCTATATATATATATATATATATATATATTTGTTTACATGCGAGATATCTTAGTAGTAAATGTTTTAAAGTGTAGCTTACATTCCTGTTTTATATGTGCATTCCTGCAGACATAAAGCATTCATATTTGTAGAGCATCTAGGACATAAAATTAAATGACAAATATAATAAATTGAATGATTATGGGTAAAGCCCAGAATTACAGCTTCTTATATGACTTTTATGTACCTACTAATTACAACCACTAACATGTTGTAATGTCTATTGTATGATATAAATAACTATGATTATTATTGAGAAAATCCACTGGGGCTCTGAGGTGATGCGAACCTGTGACCTAGGTATTGCCAGCCGCATACTCTACCACTAACTGATTCTTATAATAATTATTATTAGTAGTAGTATTATTATTATTACCATTACCAATATCATCCTTATTAAATTAGCAATTCAGGCTACGTAATGTTTATAATATTACACACAGAAATCACAATAGCGTGATGCATCAAATGAATAAATCCACAAGGGCCGTGACGAGGGTTCGAATCTACGTCCGAGAGGATCCCAGACGCTGCCTTAATCGACTGAGCTACTATACGGTTATAATTTATAATAATTTATAATGTCAGGTTGTACATTTTTTGAGGGCCAGAGTAAACGTAAATATTTAGGTCCACAGGGCTAAATATGTAAACACTGTGTCAATATGAGGGCCAGAGTAAATATGAGAGCTACAGGGCTAACAACACTGCAAACCAGACATAGTTTGCCATAGACTCTGTTACTCGGGTTTGCTGTTGTCGCTCTGACCAGCTTGGAGTACCTGGTTATTTGGTGTACTCATGTGACCGTCTTTTTTGGGCACATTGACACCCTCCAAGACCAGGTCGTCTTGGGTTAAAGGAGCACCCTCCAAGACCATGTCGTCTTGGGTTAAAGGAGCACCCTCCAAGACCAGGTCGTCTTGGGTTAAAGGAGCACCCTCCAAGACCAGGTCGTCTTGAGTTAAAGGAGCACCCTCCAAGACCAGGTCGTCTTGAGGAACATCTACACCTTCCAAGACCAGGTCGTCTTGGGGTACGTCAATACCTTTCAAGACCAGGTCGTCTTGGGTTAAAGGAGCACCTTCCAAGACCAGGCCATCTTGGGGAACATCAACACCTTCCAAGACCAGGTCCTCTTGGGGTACAGCAACACCCTCTAGGTTCTGGTTATCTTGTACCTCCTCGCCACTCTCCAGATCCAGGTCGTTCTTCTCCAGATCATCAAGATCTCTGAAGTAGTTGAAGACACTGAAGGGGCACTTATTGCCATAATTAATTAGACAAGATTCAGGTTCCTCGAGCAGCCCCGCCATCTGCGCCCCTCTGTAGTCCTCCATCGTGTCGTGCTCGTCGTCCAGTGGCCTACACAACAAGCAAGCTTTTAAAGGATCTCATAATGATGAAGAAATATGGTTACATTAAATGCTAGGTTAGCTTAGCATTTTAAAAGCACCGAATCACCTTCTGTGGCTGATTGTTCAATAAACCCCTGAACTATATGTTTAACACATCTCTCACCCTGTCCATGGAGGACAGAAGAAAATGTATATATGCTGGTTAGCAGTGTAAATGTGTGGCCCCGTCTGAGGTAGAAAATAATAATAAAAAACAAATGCGACAAAGAAGCAGAGGTTAAAGCTGTCATGCAACACAAGGCGATAAACCTTGACCTCAGTTACTTCATGATGTGACTTGCTGGAAATATACTAAACTTGTATTTGCTTGTTAGTAGCTATAACTAGGGGCAGGGATAGAGAGGCAGTAGCTAATGTAAAGTCCAGTTATTCTTCCTGAGGAATTTTTCTCGGCTGGTAGGATATTCCAAAAGTATTGTCTTTCGGAAAAAAAAACAGCGTAGAATGTAATGAAATGCCCTTGTCTGTGGGGAGCCCCAGAGGCTCCTTGGAGCTATCGGACTGACGTGCGATATATTAGTCTGGGGCATCAGTCTATTGGAGTTCAGCTTACCAGGGACCACGAGCCAGAACCTGGCCCCCCTCAGAGAGGCAAAGGGAGCAACGGCCTATGGAAACCCCCACTTGTATTTGGGGGCATTCCATGTCTACCATCGACTGAGGTTAGCACCCAGTAAGGTAGGCATAACAAAACAGACTCCACATGGTAAGAAAATTGTAACCGAAGACTGAACAGAGAGGCAGAACTCCCCCAACCTAAAGAACAAGCAAACTTCACACACACTGCCACCGGGCTGCCCTCCCCTCCTCGGGAGGGGGGAGCCCCAGATCCCCCCGCACCGGCTACTCAACAGCTCCGGTTCGGAGACTGAGCATCAAAACAACGCGAAAACCGCCGACCAGTGGGAGGGAGGGTTGCCAGGGAACCTCCGGGACTCACCAAGCAAATGACATTTCATTACATTCAACGCTGGTTTTCTGTGGGGAGCCCCTTCGGCTCCCTGGAGCTATCTAACCAAAGACAAGTAAACAAGGGACTTACACGGAAGACTTCCGCCACGCGCTCATCAATTCAAAGACAACTGGCTGCAACCTGCGACCCAAAGCCACACAAGAACGACCGGGACCAGGAACAGTTACCAAATAATGGGCGGCCAGGACCCTGTTCAACCTCCAAAACCCCTGTGCCTGAATAGCAGCCCATGACATGTTGCCGAACACGGCAGCCAAAGCAGTAAACTTATGAACGTCATGGGCATGAGGATGGAACGCAGGCTGACTAGACTTAATAACCCTGCGGACGATCTGGGAGGCTCGAGCCCTGGAACAGGGAATGAGGGAAACCGGACCAACCCAAAGCACGGCCCCGGCCACAGAAAATGGCAAAGACCTGCAACCAGACAACATATGATGCATCCCCGGCCTGACCAACCAAACATCAACGACCCAGGATCAACGACCCAACGAAAGAGGCAGAGCCGGGAAAAATGCACTGGGTTCAGACACCGAGCAAGCAGTGCCTGAAACTAAGGCTGGGCCGGCCGCCAAGAGGCCACAAGGACGACTCTCCCCTGGTAAGTCTCCAACCGAGCCAGGACCCGAAGCAACTGCGGGGAAAGGTGTATAGGTAACCCCACTTGACCAATCCTGCCGAAGGGCATCCACCGCGAAGGTTACGCAGTCGGGGAAGGGCGCCATACTTACCGGGAGACTCCGAGACCACGCCGACATGAAGAAGGCCACCTCCGGGAGCCCGAACATCTGCAGAGCCAACTGAATGAGTCGTCAGTGACTCGTCCATTCCGTGGACAGGGGTTATGAACCGAGACAGGCTGTCCACCAGGACGTTCGACATACCCCAAAAATGAACCGCACGGAGAGCCATACACCGAGAATCCAGCAGACAAGTCAATCAAAACAACAGCTCCAAAGAGCCAAAGACTGAAGAGAACCCCCGCAGTTCAGACAAAGAACCACCGGAAAGCAGTCTGAATGGAGCCAGATCGTTGAACCCCAAGCAATCCGAAACCTCCGGAGTGACAGCCATCCGCCCCGAACTCCTACACCATGCTGTGAGCCCGACAGAGGGACGGAGCCCACCGCCTCCGGCCGGCCTGGTGAGCACCGGTCATAAAACCCCAGTCGAGAGACGAGGCATTCGTGAACACATCGAGTGAGGGCTCGGGTAGGCACCAAGGCACTGAACCCCGAAAACTCCGAAGAGGAAGTCAGGGATGCAGCAACCAATGCAAGGCCCCTGGAGACCGAACATAGTAATCGCGAGAGAGGCAGAAGGGACGTCCCCGAAGGAACCTGAAAAGACGCCGCAGCCAGGCCCGACCTGGCAGGGAATCCAGCATGGCGAGGGGTCAGGCCCCCATACAACTGCTCGAGCAACCGCCAAACGACCTAGAACCCTCAGAAACAGCTGAAGGCGGGACTGCAGCTGCAGCAACTCCTCTGGAGGGAGAGACATGGAAGCGGCCCGAGAGTTCCACACGAGGCCAGCCAGGTCTGAACCACTGATGGAACTTCCTCCAGTTCACCAGGAACCCGAACCTGACGAACCAGGAAAGAACCACCTCTCCGGCGAGCAGACAAGCAGACTGGCTGGGAGCCCACACGAACCAGCCGTCGAGGTGGGCCAACACCCGAATACCTAGCAGATGTAGATGGGCAACCACGAACCAGGTAAGACGTGGAAACGCGAGGTGCCAGAAGCTGGCCAAAGGAAAGACAATGAAGACGCGAGAAGCACACCGCTCCACCACGAAACCAAACCAGTCCCCCGAACCCTGGATGAAGCAGGACATGCCAACACACGTCTCGAAGGGCGAGAGACAAACCACCCAACAACTCTTACCACCCAAAAGAAGCCGGATCTGGGACACAGAGTCACCCAGAAGCTAGCAGTACAGACAGGATAAAACCAGGATGAACCGAAAATCCGCACAGTCCTGCTGCGGGACTGGACAAGATGACCCGACGGAGCGAAGGGGAGGAAGCTTGCCCCGCAGCTCCGAACCCCCCAGACGAGGAGGAGGAGCCGCCCAATGCCATCACAGGCCGGAGGACACGACTCGAACCGCCCACGAAAATGTGGGACCAAGCGTGGACAAACAGAGCCAGCCTCCCCTCCAGTGCCCCGCCAACAGGGTGACCCGCGAAGGGACCGGCACCCCCCTCCCCATCCGATAGAAAAAATGTAAATAAAAATAACTATAATAAAAGAAAAGCAATAAGCCGACTTGCGAGCAGAGCGAGCACCGCGCCGACCAGACGAAGACGGCTCTGGAGGAGACACCGGCACAAAAAGCTGCACCAAAGGCCCACCTCGACAAGCAGTAGCCGGAGCTCCGGCACGACCACAAAACACGTGCCAAGACCCAAGAAGTGCAATCTGCAAGCTACGCTCGTGGTGACCTATCTTCCCGGTACTAGTACTGTACTCTGTCGTATAACGCTTTGTAACTACTGATGGGTTTGGCCTAAACCACTTTCTCACTTTGCTTGTTCCAACCGTCTACCACTATGTTTGCAAAAGAAAACGTTCTGATATTTTTTCGGCACCTTAGGTTCCTTAGCTTAAATCTGTGTCCTCTTGTTCGTGATGTTGCTGGTTTCAGGAATTCCTGTCAATTTGGATGATTCCTGGTAGTAGTTTGTGTGGTGATCATATCACATCTTTTTCTTCTATCTTCTAGTATTGGCATGTTTAACGCCTCTAGTCTCTCCTCGTAACTTTTGTTTTTCAGTTCCGGAAGCCATTTTGTAGCATGCTGTTGCACCTTTTACAGTTTATTTATGTGCTTCTTGAGATTTGGACACCATATAAGTGCTGCATATTCCAATTTTGGTCTCACAAAAGTCATGAACAGTTTCTCTAGTATTTCATCAGTCATATAATTAAAAGCAAGTCTGAAGTTGGAAAGCGACGTACGGTATACGCTTTTCTCACAATGTTCTTTATGTTCCTCTGGCGACAGCTTACTATCCTAATCCACGTGCAGGCGATGAGCCACAATAACGTGGCTGAAGTATGTTGACCAGACCACACACTAGAAAGTGAAGGGACGACGACGTTTCGGTCCGTCCTGGACCATTCTCAATCGACTTGAGAATGGTCCAAGACGGACCAAAACGTCGTCGTCCCTTCACTTTCTAATGTGTGGTCTTATCAACATCCTAATCCACCCCCAGGTCTCGTTCTATATTGTAAGTTGTGTGTGGTTTATTTTCTCTGATTCCAAGTGCGAGTGGTTGGACGAGCACAGAAGTGCGAGTGGTTGGACGAGCACAGAAGTGCGAGTGGTTGGACGAGCACAGAAGTGCGAGTGGTTGGACGAGCACACGAGTGCGAGTGGTTGGATAAACGCACAAGCAAAAGCTATTGGGGCCTTAAGCAGATAATTTGTTTCCATTTGAAAGGAGTTCTAATAAGGACCGAGATAAAAAAAATTCTATTAAATGGCGCTCGCCCCTCGTGGCTGCCAATTAGCGTGTCAGTTTGTTATCGAAGTTAGCAACGAGATATTCTCCTTTATGAATACGTGGCCAATATCAATATTATAGGGATGCAAATCTGATCCCACTGCATGGCCTCAATATTTTCTCATTATAGTGCTAGGTTACATAGCACTATACATAAATACATACATACATACATTATAGTGACAGCCTGACTTTAATTCAGGTTGTCACTGATTATTAGAGAGATCCTAATATAAATATATTATAAATATAGCCCTTATGAACAGCCTAACATCCGATGTGAAGTGATTTGACTTTATCTTGACACATTACTTGTCACAATAATATATGCTGTTGACTGACACTATTGACAGGCAAGTAATTAGACTTTGTTAGGTTATTAGACTTAGACCAAACACCTCGTTCATACCTAGTGCCAGCGTTCAATACAGTACGTATATCTACTATGGACGGATCGCACACAACACGGACTGATGCACAAAAAGAGGGAAACACGTGCACATTTTGTACCATTTTGAACCATTAGTTCAGGTAATTCAGGCAATTGTAACAAGAGCGTGACCATCTAACTAGTCTAGGTCTAAATAAGCAATCCATGACAATATATTTTTAACCTTAGGCCTAATCTAAATATATTTATCTCTAGTACCCCCCTCGATGGGGACAGGAAGCCGATGGTTTGTCAAAGATTCTCCCCTTCCCCCCTTTTGCACTGTTTCGGAGGATTTTTGGCAATTGGACTTTGAAATGAAGTAATGTACTTTCTTTGATAAGCAATGCTAAATTTCTAAGGGTTAATTATCAAAACTTCTAAATATGAAGACAAACCTTCAGCTCTTCGTCGAGTAATGATATAATTACATAATAATAGGGAACAAAAATAATTATATCAGAATATAATTTTTTAAACTGGACAAAAAAAAAGTCACTTACGTGAAGACCGACGTTATGAGCTCCCCTACAATGGTCCACTCCCTTATGGGGTACTTCTGTAAGTCACATATAAACCGCAGCAAACACGCTCGACCGTCCAGCCCAAACGTCGTGTCTATCTGTTCCTCCAGCGAGCGGTAGATGGACCTCTGGTCGTCCCTGTACTTCCTGTGCAGGCATATTTATTGATTTATTTATATACCAGAAGGTACAGTGGGGGGTTAATACAGAACATAGAAAGTTAACCAAACCACACACTAAAAAAGTGAAGGGACGACGACGTATCGGTGCGTCCTGGACCATTCTCAAGTCGACTTGAGAATGGTCCAGGACGGACCGAAACGTCGTCGTCCCTTCACATTCTAGTGTGTGGTTTGATCAACATTTTTTCAGCTACGTTATTGTGACTCCTCGTCTGCAGAGAACATAGAAATTAAGTTGATTTTTACATTCTTGTGAAGCCGCTAGCACGCATAGCGTTTCAGGCAAGAAACGAATCATTTCATTATGGGGACAATTACTGGTTACTGTTCATCTGCATAGCTACTATGGCCATAAACAAGTTTACTGTGGAGGAGAGGCGGAACACGCATCAAGACTAGCCTCCCAAGCCAAATATTTGTGTCAAAACTGTACCTGTATACAAGCAGCGAGCGAACAAATACTGGGGTAGGGAAGATACTGGGGTAGGGAAGATACTGGGGTAGGGAAGATACTGGAGTAGGGAACAGATACTGGGGTAGGGAACAGATACTGGGGTAGGGAACAGATACTGGGGTAGGGAAGATACTGGGGTAGGGAAGATACTGGGATAGGGAAGATACTGGTGTAGGGAGCAAATACTGGGGTAGGGAACAAATACTGAGGTAGGGAGAAGACACTGGGGTAGGGAACAAATACTGGGGTCGGGACCAAATACTGGGGTAGGGACCAAATACTGGGGTAGGGACCAAATACTGGGGTAGGGAACAAATTCTGGGGTAGGGAACAAATACTGGGGTAGGGAACAAATTCTGGGGTAGGGAACAAATACTGGGGTAGGGAACAAATTCTGGGGTAGGGAACAAATACTGGGGTAGAGAACAAATACTGGGGTAGAGAACAAATACTGGGGTAGGGAACAAATACTGGGATAGGGAACAAATACTGGGGTAGGGAACAAATACTGGGATAGGGAACAAATACTGGGGTAGGGAACAAATACTGGGGTAGGGACCAAATACTGGGGTAGGGACCAAATACTGGGGTAGGGAACAAATACTGGGGTAGGGAACAAATACTGGGGTAAGGAACACATACTGGGGTAGGGAACAAATACTGGGGTAGGAAACAAATACTGGGGTAGGGAACAAATACTGGGGTAAGGAACACATACTGGGGTAGGGAACACATACTGGGGTAGGGAACAAATACTGGGGTAGGGAACAAATACTGGGGTAGGGAACAAATACTGGGGTAAGGAACACATACTGGGGTAGGGAACAAATACTGGGGTAGGAAACAAATACTGGGGTAGGGAGCCGATACTGGGGTAGATAAAAGGAATGTGGAATTAAAGATAATTTCTCGGCTATCACTAGAGATCCACATCACCCTCATGATGGCAGGAACATAAACAAAGTCGACCCAGAGAATTACACGCAGCCTCCTTATATTACGTAAGAATAAATCTAACATTTCCATATAACAGGCAACATTATATTTCATTATAATGTTGCCTGCTGAAAGTAGAATGTGAACAAATCTAGTTATACTCAATAATAAGCTTATTTTACAATGAAATAAGACCAGAGTTGATGGTAGGTGACACGATAAAAGTTAAGCAGACTTTGAGCCACAATACTGTAATGTGGTCTTAAAAGATTATGACCAAACCACACTAACTAACACACAAAGTGTTTCGGGCAAGTCCTTAATCTAACATAATTATAATTAGGTAATTTCTAGCAAAATTTGAAGAATATTTATAGGTACATTGGTAGATATTATTGTCTCCCCTTCAGGAACCTTGACAACGAAGTTTTCAAGACATTGTAGACATCTTGTGCCTGAGCAGTAATAGAGTATGCAGCCCCTGTATGGCGTGCCCACCTACACAATGAGTACCATTGAATTAATTAAGTCTAGAGGTTTGTTACAAGCTAGTCCTCGCGCTCTTTACCTTATGTTCCGCTTAATGTCTCACGCACCCACTAGACAAGGGTTTAGCCGCCGGCTTCCTGTCCACGTTGTGGCCGCTAGAGAGAAGGAGGCTCTCAGGTAATTACAGGTAAACGCAAGGAAGTGGCGAGTGTACCAGAGCTGATGTTGTTGTTGTTGATTTAGGGGCAACGAAGATCGTGGGATCGGATGCGCCCCGGCGTACCCGTTAAGGGTGAATCGCGAAGCCTAGAGAGGTGGAACGCCAAGCCAAATCGCAAAACGAGTGACGCCAATCACTAGAAACTAATATGCCATACGGCAAATAAACGCACAGTCAGGCAGATGATTGGAGAGTCCCTCAGGGTGACAAGCACCGGCCCCGCTCCACACAGAGAACACCAGGTAGCAAAACCAAAACTCGGCCTCCCAACTAAAACGCAAAAAGTCATCCAGTTTCCCCCGGCAGAGCAGAAGCCAGCCGCCCACCACGACTGAGGGCACACCAGGAGCCCACCAAGACCCGCCAACCCCCGGCACCTCTCGGCCAAGCCGGCCCCCGAACACCGTCACCCCGCCGGGAGAACCAGCCAGTATACACGTCAAAAAAAAAAATCTATCAACAATCCCGTGACCCAAGGCGATATGTGCGCCAGGCGTCGTACAATCGGACCGCTGAAAAGGGATGCCAAACGGCAGTAGCAAAGCCAAAACGCGAAAACAGGACGTGATCCGGCGGCCCCCAGACGTTCGCTCGGCGTCAAGGTTGAACCAGGAGTCGTGTAGAGTGTTCCTACCAGAGCTGATGTTGACATGCTCGGAGCGGCCGGGCAGGTCGCTTGGCTTCCGTCAGCCCCTCGACCATTTTCTCTGATCTCCACAGTGTTGTAGGGTAGACTCAACCCAACCCGTCCTCGACTCAAGTCCATTACATTCAGCGGTCAACCCCACAGACGCATTCATAAATTTTAACATGCTGTTTATTCAAAACGGGAATTTTCTCAAGTATAAATTAATATTATAATATATTAGCATATTGTGTATATATAGGCATAGGATAGGTTAGGTTAGGTGTTTAGGTTCTGTTGGCGATTATTTGTATTTGTAGTACGTGGGTGAAGCATTTATAGCGTTGTGATTCGAACAAAATTCGTCAGTGAAGCACTTGTTCCGGATATGTTCGAACGTCAGCAGTTGTGAGTCGTGTGTAAACCGCTTTTCATTCATAAACAGGGGGTTTGGCGGGTGCATGAAATCACTTTTGGATCTTTGTTAGGAGGACGGGCTGACTCAACCCGTCCTTAGCTCACGTCCATTCCATCCAGCGGTCGACTCCAAAGACGTATTTATCAATTTTAATACGATGTTCATTCAAATTCGGAATTTTCTTAAATATAAATTATTATTGTTATGTATTAGCATACTGTCCATATTTTAGGCTTTGGTTAGGTTAGGTGTTTGGGTTCTGTTGGCGATTATTTGTATTTGTAGTACGTGGGCGAAGCTTTTACAGTATTGTGGTTCGAGCAAAAGTCGTCAGCGAAGCACTTGTTCGAGAAGTGTTTGGACGTCATGACAACCCATTCTCGCATACAAAGATCCAAGCTCGTTAACCCAGCTGCCAAGCCCCCTGTTTATGAATGAAAAGCGGTTTACACACGACGCACAACTGATTTCGTTCGTTCGAACACTTCCGGAACAAGTGCTTCATTACGAATTTTGTTTGAAACAGAACGCTGTAAATGCTTCACCCACGTACTACAAATACAAATAATCGCCAACAGAACCTAAACGCCTAACCTAACCAAAGCCTAAAATATGGACAGTATGCTAATCTCATTAACCATTAAAACCATCTCATTAACCATTAAAAATCTTGAGAAAGTTCAGATGTCTTATGAAACTGCCGCAACAGCTGAAATAAGTGATTTTTAATGATAATCACAAAGGCTCCGAGCCTTACACTACTGGAAGAGGAGAGAATTAGACGTGATATGATCACTATATACAAGATACCGAGAGAGATAAATGTTCAGGGCGGAAAAGACCAGAAGGACGGGGGTACATATGAAAGCAAAGTATACTAATGAAATCAAAGAAACACTAAACTACTTTTTAGTGCGCGAGACGGAAATTTTGTAACAGATTATAAAGGGAGGCGACATATAGACATATTCCGTACAAGGATTTAGAAGCTGACTGAAGAATGATCAACCACATCGATTAAATGTTTAGAGACGAAGAAATCTTTTAAGAAGATCTTAAGAAAATCCTAGATTTTCATCTAGGATTTTCCTAGAAATCGACCTCATTTCATCCGTCCTCTCAACTAGAAGGCCGTATTTTGTACGTTATTGTAACCAACGCTACCAAGAAGGCTCCGTGCCTCCTTTTGATAATTACTTACTTTAATCTTAATAAAAGTACCGCTCACAAATGTATAATAAATTAAACTAAACGTAAACATGTACGTGTTCCGTGTAATGGACTTAATAGGTTAGGTGGGTTGATTGGGTTCGCGGATAAAAAGGTTAGACTTGTTTACAAATCCGGATTCGGAGCGCTCCGGATCCGGATCGTGCCGGATCCGGCGGAACAAATACATACCGACCCAGCTTGTACTCCCGCGCTAGAGCGTCCAGGATGATAACGTAGGAGATGACAGCCAGGGGGATGAGTTTGATGGACGGAACCCCGTTACCGTCGCTGTCTGTCAAGATGGGGACCCCGAACTGGTTGGAGATGGTGATGTAAGGCCGTGTGAAGAGCCCGGGGAGCGCTGTCGTCATCTTCGTCCGAGTGCCTGCTGGGGAGGGCCTGGCACCGTGCCTCACTTGCTGGATACAGTCCCCCTTGGCTCTGAAAATTGGAGAGTAAAAGTTATAAGTTGGCCCATCTCCTCCTCTTGGAGAGGGCCAAAATCTCCCAACCAGTTTAAGATAAAAACTAAGTTCTGTCTAATCAACTCCATGTAACCTACCTCACCCCTAAATGTCAACCCATGTATCACTATTTTAAACAATGCTGTTCGTTGATCAAATTGTATATTTGCTATTTTCTGCCATGTCCCCCCTCTTTCTTTATTTTTTTATTTTTCAACACAATTTATACATTAATCTCAATTAGTATTAAGTTTTAGTCTAAGTGTTTTCTTTCCCCCTCACCTTGCCCGAAACGCTATGTGTACTAGTGGCTTTAGGTATTATATGTACTATCTCTTTCTTTAAATCCATCTTGATTATCTTGAGATTATCTTGAGATGATTTCGGGGCGAAGTGTCCCCGCGGCCTGGTCCTCGACCAGGCCTCCACCCCCCAGGAAGCAGCCCGTGATAGATGACTAACTCCCAGGTACTTATTTACTGCTAGGTAACAGAGAGCATCAGGGTGAAAAAAAACTCTGCCCATTGATTCTCGCCGGCGCCTGGGATCGGACCCAGGACCATAGGATCACACGCCCAGTGTTGTGTCCGCTGAGCTGCCGGCGCCCTCCAACATTATGTTTGTAACTCAGTTGCAATGTGTGTACCTTTACCTGAATAAAGAATCTGAAGTGACAGGAGACCTATAGTCAGAGACCGGGCCGAGGGGATATTGATCCCTGAATCTTCACCGGGTAGGGAGAATGAGTACATAAGGAACAGTGATTTACTGTAGAGCGGTAGATGAAGAAGGCAGTACGTCCTACTGCAATGATAGCACAGTACTTGTACTATTTGGTCGAGAGTACCCATATGTACTGAGGGACCTCCGAAATGTTCCTTTTTTGTACTTTTAATTTGATAGAGTCCAGAAAGATAAACCCCTAAACAAAACCATTATTTATAGGCCAAGTAATATAGTACATATGTACTATTAGGCCTAAAATACCATATATTAGGCCTAAAACAGCATGTATTAGACATTGGATTGTTAAGATAGGTCAGGTTAGGTCTTGTATTCATGTTGACGTTAAAAAGTATTATTCAGTAATTCAAAATTCAACTTTCTGGTGGTCCATCACTATATATTGGTACTTTCTGGTGGTCCATCACTATATGTTGGTACTTTCTGGTGGTCCATCACTACATATTGGTACTTTCTGGTGGTCCATCACTATATGTTGGTACTTTCTGGTGGTCCATCACTATATGTTGGTACTTTCTGGTGGTCCATCACTATATGTTGGTACTTTCTGGTGGTCCATCACTATATGTTGGTACTTTCTGGTGGTCCATCACTATATGTTGGTACTTTCTGGTGGTCCATCACTATATGTTGGTACTTTCTGGTGGTCCATCACTATATGTTGGTACTTTCTGGTGGTCCATCACTATATGTTGGTACTTTCTGGTGGTCCATCACTATATGTTGGTACTTTCTGGTGGTCCATCACTGCATATTAGTATTTTCTGGTGGTCCATCACTACATATTGGTACTTTCTGGTGGTCCATCACTGCATATTAGTACTTTCCGGTGGTCCATCACTACATATTAGTACTTTCTGGTAGTTGTAGTATGTTAACCATATAATATACTTGCTCTAAATTCTCTCCAGCTTATGTACAGATAATGAGATGGATTTGTTAAGCCTACGTAACTTATGTCTTAAGTTATCACATTTCCAGCGTGTACAACTTTACAGTTAACACTTCCACCCAACCTGTTGGAGGGTGGTGAGGTGAGGTGAAGGTGAGATGAGGTGAAGGTGAGGTGAAGGTGAAGGTGAGGTGAAGGTGAGGTGAAGGTGAAGGTGAGGTGAGGTGAAGGTGAGGTGAGGTGAAGGTGGGTTGTATAACCGGTTCACAGTGAGTATAATCAGCTTTACGGGCTATTCATGCCCGTGCCACCTCTTGGGTGGCTTAATCTTTATCAATCAATCAGGTCCTAATCCTCACACACAGGAGACATCTTCCGTAACGCAGGGTGCAGTCGCACCTCCACAGATCTCCAGTATCATCTATTGATACTGGTGATGGCTCGAAAGGGCCACCACTTACGGGCTATTCATGCCCGTGCCACCTCTTGGGTGGCTCAATCTTCATCAATCAATCAGGTCGTAATCCTCACAAGACGCTCCAGGCTCGACACAGAGCAGACAGCCAGACTTCGGCCGCGTCGAGCTTCCACGCTCTCGTCCCGCACTCGAGCTCTTCGACTACACCAGCGTTTAGAGCGCCGCGCTCTACACACTCACCCCGCATCTGAGCCTCAGTCAGCTCTCTGCCCTGTCCCAGGCTTCGTTTTAACTACTACGACACCTCACGACACTACCAACAAACCGACCGTTGTAACTAAGACTATACTCAATAAATATACAAAATCACTAAACTCTGTGTCTAAGCAGCCAAATACGTACATGTAACCATACGGTTCATAGTCAACGTCTGCCCTGAAGTCTGGTAGATTGATTGATTGATGAAGATTAAGCCACGCAAAAGGTGGCACGGGCATGAATAGCCCGTAAGTGGTGGCCCATTGGAGCCATCACCAGTATCAAGAGCTGGTACTGGAGATCTGTGGAGGTGCAACTGCACCCTGCGTGACGGGAGATGTCTCCTGTGTAAGTCTGGTAGTCGACGCCCTCCCTAATTACGGGGTATTGATGCCCGTGCCACCTCTTGGGTGGGTTAATCTTTATCAACCAATCGCCGTCCCTAAGGCCAGGTAGTCAACGCCTGCCCTGAAGTCCGCTAGCCATCACCAGCCCTGAAGTTAGTTACTCAACGCCCCTAAAGCTAAGGTAACGCTCTGAAGCCAAGAACGGTGAATACTTATTCACCGTTCTAAAGTCAGGTTCATGAACCTGCTAAAGAAACGAGTCTATCATTTATCACCAAGTTATGCTTTTTGAGACACTGTGGGCGTATCCGCCCGAGTCATTCAAACATCCGCCACTACCTTGCACCACATATGGACTAACATAACAGCTCTACACACAGAAATCACAATAGCGTGATGCATCCAATGAACAAATCCACAAGGGCTGTGACGAGGATTCGAACCTACGTCCGAGAACATCCCAGACGCTGTCCTAATCGACTGAGCTACGACATGGTCAAAAGAATTGCAACCAGAAATTCTACTGAATTTACTTGGATCCTGCATTGTTTATAACAGCTCCCCCTTGCATCTGGTATAGTCACTGACAGAACCACTGACCACTGTCCTACCTTCCTCATAGCAAACATGAACATAACAACATCGGATAGCAAGAAACTTACCTTCGGGTTCCTCAGTGAAGCAGTAATAGGCAATCTCACACACTAGAGCGACGGTCTCGCTTCATGCAGGTCGGTGTTCAATCCCCGACCGTCCAAGTGATTGGGCCACCATTCCTTCCCGCCGTCCCATCCCACATCCTTATCCTGACCCCTTCCCAGTGCTCTATAGTCGTAATGGCTTGGCGCTTTCTCCTGATTGTTCTCTTCCCTTCACAAATGCTCTTCACAATATTGTTGACCAGACCACACACTAGAAGGTGAAGGGACGACGACGTTTCGGTCCGTCCTGGACCATTCTCAAGTCGATGAGAACGGAACTCTCTTTACAATATAAACTGGGAATCTGATTTCAATAATACATAAGATATAAATTCATAGTCAACATCTTTCTATCCAAAACTCTAAGCCTCTACAACACTCACGTTCGTCTCCTCACCAAGCAAGTAAATACCAAAAGACTAAACAACCCCTGGCTCACAAGGGCATAATCAAAGCAATCAACAAGAAACATGTATATGAAATAAAGCATAGGAGTGACCTAGTTACCACAGCAGTAGTTAAGAGATACTCATCAATGTTTACCAGTATAATACGAAGAGCGAAACTTTCCTATTATGAGAGTAGATTCAAAGAAGCAAAAGGAAATATTAGAAGAACACGGAAGGCCATCTCTAACATGCTAGGACCTAAACAACGATCACATAACAAGCAGATAAAACTCTCCAAAGATGGTTACACACCTGCAACAGACTTAGAAACGTCAATTGAATTTAATAGCTTCCTTTTCATCAGTTGGTGCTAACCTTGCCAGAAAACCTCCAGAGATCCACACATATGTTACTACATCTCCCACAGGCAACTGTCCAACCACTTGGGCTGGACGGTAGAGCGACGGTCTCCATTCATGCAGGTCGGTGTTCAATCCCGGACCGTCCAAATGGTTGGACACCATTCCTTCCCTCCCCGTCCCATCCCAAATCCTTATCCTGATCCCTTTCCTGTGCTATATAGTCGTTATGGCTTGGCGCTTTCCTGACAATTCCCTTCCCTTCTCACAATCAACTGTCCTAACTCTCTACTCCCTTTACCAGTCAACTCGACAGATGATGGACAGTCAGTCCATCATTCACTCACTAAACCCCAAAACTGGGAACATTAGTGAAATACCATCTATGGTATACAAGAGTGCCTCCCATGCCCTTGCACCAGCCATAGTGGAACGCACTGAGAAGAAGAACCTGTTGAAGCCACCTCCATCCACAACTTTAAAGCCAGATTCGACACATTAGAATCTCACATTAGAATACTTAAGCTATAACGCAACGGGTACAACAAATCCAGTAGGCGGGGGACCAGGAGCTAGACCCCCACATCCCCGTAGTCACTTATACTTAAGAAAGAGCATACCATCTGAAGGATCAACGCCAGAGGTGGACAATGTTCTACAACGTAGCATTATATATCATAAAATCTTCCCTGAACTATCATCGTACTAAAGTTATGAACGTAAACATTGAATGTTTGCGTTACCAAATGAGTACGCCGAGGCGGCCCGAGTGTTTGCTCTGTAACCGACCGCGATGTAAATATTTACACGCAAGACACGCTAAACGCTTCCAGCTTCCAGTGTCCGCTTGACAGACGCCCCAACTCGCTCGGCAGTTCAAGGGCCTTCTTGGCAGCTTCCCTGCAGTGCCTTTTTGGCAGCTTCTCTGCAGTGCCTTTTTGGCAGCTTCTCTGCAGTGCCTTTTTGGCAGCTTCCCTGCAGTGCCTTTTTGGCAGCTTCCAGTGCCTTTTCGGCAGCTTCCAATGCCTTCTTGGCAACTTCCATGCAGTGCCCTTTCAGCAGCATTCTGCTAACTGTACAGAAAAGTGCAATTCAAACTTGCATACTTTCATGTCGACTAACAAGGTGAAGAATGGAAAAAAAGAACCTTTCTTTTCGAAGAATTCCATGTGCAAGTTTGAAAGCAATGGCGATAAAGGATTCCCCATTGCCATTCCAAAAGTCTGTAAATAATACTCTATAATAATACTCTATATTTTTATAAATAATAAAATAATAAGAAATTTGTTTAAAAAATAACTCCTGGAATCATTCCATGGTTTAGATATGTTGATGATATATTACTTAGCCTATACGTTAAGTAATAATTGTAAATAAGAAGCAATAAGATGCTTATCTTAACATACTAAGAAGGTTAGGTGAGGTCGGTGTTTTCTATGAAGCTTTTCAAGGTAAACTAAAATATTCACAATCAATTAGTATGTCACATATGCAATTATTAAATAAGCCAATATTGACTAAAAGCAAGTGCCAGAACGGGTTGTAATACAAGAAATAAAAAGTGACAACGGAAGTATTTACAAGACACTATGACCTGGACACGAGGAGGCGGAGACGTGAGAAGGGACAGTGTTGACCCTGAGCATCTGGAGAGACTACCGTGGTCAGCGGGGTCACGGGTACTTATACCCCTGCTGACCTCTCATCCTTTGTGGCTTGAAACTACAAGCCGGCAGCGAGACTGCTCGTTACCCACAGATAACCATGAGCCGGCAGGTTGTACCTGCCCGGGGCTCTGAGGCTGGTGGAGGGTGACCCTGATGCTTTCCAGACACATGTGTGGGGTGCACGTCTGGGTTGGCTGGCGTATATAGGTGATATGCAGAGTGATGTAACACGAGGTGAGTAGGAAAAGGCAGATTACTCTGCTATACTGGGGAATTACATGACTATATATATATATATATATATATATATATATATATATATATATATATATATATATATATATATATATATATATATATATATATATATATATCAATAACCGTGAAAGTGAAACCCTGCAAGATGACCAATGGGACCAAGCAACGCCCCCAGTTAGACTCGGGGGTATAGGTATTCGCAAGGCGACGCAGTTAGCATTGCCGGCATTCTTATACTCGACTAGTGCTACAGGTGAATTAGTTAATGAAATACTACCAGAATTCCTAAGAGATTCCATTGGGATTCATGATCTCAAATTCGCGGAAGGAGCTTGTCAGTGGGACACTCTTGCCAACTCTCATCCTCGACCAACTTTTCCAAACGACGGCAAACAGGCCAAATGGGATTGCCCCATAGTGGACAACATTGCTGGAGGCAGCTTCTGAGAAGGACAGAACGCGTCTCCAAGCTGTGCAAGCCCCCCATGCCGGGGACTTCCTGTTGGCAGTCCCTAATTCTGTCTTGGGCACCCGCCTCGACCAGCGGCTCAAAAGTATTGGTGTTGCCCTGCGCCTTGCCGCCCCTATCTCCACCGAGCACAGGTGTATCTGCGGATATGCGTCGGCAGACCAATACGGCAGCCATGGTCTCATCTGTCGTAAGACACAGGGGAAGATTCCCAGACATGAAGCAGTCAATGACATCATCAAGAGAAGTTTGGCTACAGCTGGGTGTCCAGCACAAAGGGAACCTCAGTTGTGCAGACCTGACAACAGCCAAAAACGCCCAGATGGAGTCACGCTGCAGCCGTGGAGGGAAGGTAAACAGGTCGTGTAGGACTACACCTATGCGTCTACATTGGCTGATATCTATTTACCTAACCAACCCTACCTAACCTAACCTAACCTATCTTTATAGGTTAGGTTAGGTTAGGTAGCCGAAAAAGTTAGGTTAGGTTAGGTAGGTTAGGTAGTCGAAAAAATATTAATTCATGAAAACTTGGCTTATTAGGCAAATCGGGCCTTGCATAGTAGGCTGAGAAGTGCGTTCTGGCTACTAGGTACGACATACATATATATACATATATATATATATATATATATATATATATATATATATATATATATATATATATATATATATATATATATATATATATATGTATATATATATATATATATACACATATATACCAGGACTCGAACCCCCATAACACTAACAGTTCTTAGTGTCAAATAAATAATAAGAGTCAAATAAGAGTCAAAAATAAGTCGAATCGAGTCAAATAAGAGTCTTAGAGTCGTCGTGGAGAGATCCCCCTAATCCTCACACAACCTCTAAGATGACGAGATTTACCCAAACTACTCCACACAGACCACCACACAAGCGTCAACAACCTGTCCTCGTGTCCTGTCTAAGTGCTTCATGGTTATACCTTCTTTAAAATGTTTGTTTTGGATTGTTAGCTAACCTTACAACAGTCCTGACGAGGCTACGAGATGCTGGAGATCCGTGGAGATCCGTGGGGATGCTGGAGATACGTGGGGATGCTGGAGATCCGTGGGGATGCTGGAGATACGTGGAGATACGTGGGGATGCTGGAGATACGTGGGGATGCTGGAGATGCTCTTGTGGAGCCACTTGTGTGGAGACTGGAGCTGCCAGCCGCTCAGAGCGGCAGCCGTAGTGGGCGGGGGCCCTCGACGTCCGGCTCTGGCGTCAAGGCGAGCCTGGCGGGGGAGGATATTGGCCTGCTTTACTGTGAATGGGAGTGTGACAGATGTGTGTCAGGTGTGCCAGGCGTGGCAGATGTGACAAGTGTGTGCCAGGCGTGACAGGTGTGTGTCAGGTGTGCCTGGTGTGGCAGGTGTGTGAGGCGTGGCAGGTGTGGCAGGTGTCCCAGGTGTCAGGCGTGACAGGTGTGTGCCAGGCGTGACAGGTGTGTGAGGTGTGCCAGGCGTGGCAGGTGTGTGTGAGGTGTGCCAGGCGTGACACGTGTGTCAGGTATGCCAGACGCGACAGGTGTGTGAGGTGTGCCAGGCGTGACAGGTGTGTGAGGTGTGCCAGGCGTGAGAGGTGTGTGAGGTGTGGCAGACGTGACAGGTGTGTGGCAGGTGTGCCAGGTGTGACAGGAAGCCAGCATCTTATCTCAAGCAGTTCCTCCGTTGTATTATATAATTAAGTGCTGACTTGCATAGCACAATGGTCTACGTCCCCGGTTTCAATCCCCCAGGCGAGACAGGAACGGTTGGGAACGTTTCCTTTCACCTAATGCGTCTCTTCATGTAGCAGTAACTAGGTACTTGAGAGCTAGGTAGCTGTTGTCGTTGTTGTTATAGATTCAGCTACTCGGAACAAGTTCCAAGTAGCACGGGCTATGGTGAGCCCGCTCTAGGTAACTGTTGTTACTTGCTATATAAGTTATGGCCAGCCACAGGGAGACGTTTATCAGAGTAACAAATTTATAGTCCATCAAAATGACAAACCATATACTTTTTAAACCCAAAATAATACTTCTTTTAGCAATTGTCGCTGAAACGTAAAAAAAACGGACTGTTGGGGAAAAAATTTCACGTTTTGAACCCACCAGGAGAAACAACTCAACAGACAAAGCGAGACTTTCCCTGTATCAATATAGCACAGATCCTCTCAATTAAGTCTAAGATGATGCATATTAGGCCTAGGAGTGCCTAATTAGGCCTAGGTTATGTTTATGGTATCAATTCCACGTGTTATCGAGTCATTTGCAGTACGCCAACAGTGGAAAGCTTGACCCTCTTGTGTCCAACAGCTGACCTCTGAACCTTCCACCCATAGTGTCTTTTCGTACACACATTCCTGGAGAACGGGTTGGTTAATTCGTACAGAGCAGCCTCATCACTGCTAAGGATGCTCTAAATTACGCCCGTGGCTTCTTATAGAGTCCCGCGTCTGCGAGATGGGGCTCTGTAATAGCGAGGCTCTGTAGAAGAGCCTGTAATGTAGAAGATTAGGCTCTCGACACCTGGTACACACACCTGGTACACACACCTGTTATACACACACCTGCACCCTCCAACACCGGGTACAGAGCAGCAGCCTCAATTTATCGCCAGTTGTGAACATTTCATGAATAATGCATAATTTACACAGATCTAATAAACCCCGCGAGCAGGTTAAGTGATAGCGAACAACAAGCCGGATGAATAACGGAATAACAGCTGTGGATGAACATCCATGTCATCATCCACCAAGTGTTCACTCTCTTGAGCAGGAAGAACTCTTTTGTTCCCGTTCAAATGTGAACTGGCGGGAATTATATATTAGCCTTGCTACCTTCTGTATTGTTGAGTGTATTGAAGTGTCTGCATCACCCAGTCTTGCTTTATTTGGGGCTACCAGCTGGGGTCTGGGGCTACCAGCTGGGGTCTGGGACTACCAGCTGGGGCCTGGGGTTACCAGCTGGGGCCTGGGGCTACCAGCTGGGGACTGGGACTACCAGCTGGGGTCTGGGACTACCAGCTGGTGCCTGGGACTACCAGCTGGGGCCTGGGACTACCAGCTGGGGCCTGGGGCTACCAGCTGGTGCCTGGGACTACCAGCTGGGGCCTGGGGCTACCAGCTGGGGTCTGGGACTACCAGCTGGGGCCTGGGGCTACCAGCTGGGGCCTGGGGCTACCAGCTGGGGCCTGGGACTACCAGCTGGGGCCTGGGGCTACCAGCTGGGGCCTGGGGCTACCAGCTGGGGTCTGGGACTACCAGCTGGGGTCTGGGTCTACCAGCTGGGGCCTGGGACTACCAACTGGGGTCTGGGACTACCAGCTGGGGCCTGGGACTACCAGTTGGGGTCTGGGACTACCAGCTGGGGCCTGGGACTACCAGCTGGGGTCTGGGACTACCAGCTGGGGTCTGGGACTACCAGCTGGGGCCTGGGACTACCAGCTGGGGTCTGGGACTACCAGCTGGGGCCTGGGACTACCAGCTGGGGCCTGGGACTACCAGCTGGGGTCTGGGACTACCAGCTGGGGCCTGGGACTACCAGTTGGGGTCTGGGACTACCAGCTGGTGCCTGGGGCTACCAGCTGGGGTCTGGGGCTACCAGCTGGGGTCTGGGACTACAAGCTGGGGTCTGGGACTACAAGCTGGGGTCTGGGGCTACCAGCTGGGGTCTGGGACTACCAGCTGGGGCCTGGGACTACCAGCTGGGGTCTGGGACTACCAGCTGGTGCCTGGGGCTACCAGCTGGGGCCTGGGACTACCAGCTGGGGTCTGGGACTACCAGCTGGGGTCTGGGACTACAAGCTGGGGTCTGGGGCTACCAGCTGGGGTCTGGGACTACCAGCTGGGGTCTGGGACTACCAGCTGGGGTCTGGGACTACCAGCTGGTGTCTGGGACTACCAGCTGGTGCCTGGGGCTACCAGCTGGGGTCTGGGGCTACCAGCTGGGGTCTGGGACTACCAGCTGGGGCCTAGGACTACCAGCTGGGGTTTGGGACTACCAGCTGGGGTCTGGGGCTACCAGCTGGTGCCTGGGGCTACCAGCTGGGGCCTGGGACTACCAGCTGGGGCCTGGGACTACCAGCTGGGGCCTGGGGCTACCAGCTGGGGCCTGGGGCTACCAGCTGGGGCCTGGGACTACCAGCTGGGGCCTGGGACTACCAGCTGGTGCCTGGGGCTACCAGCTGGGGTCTGGGACTACCAGCTGGGGTCTGGGGCTACCAGCTGGGGTCTGGGACTACCAGCTGGGGCCTGGGACTACCAGCTGGGGCCTGGGACTACCAGCTGGTGCCTGGGGCTACCAGCTGGTGTCTGGGACTACCAGCTGGTGTCTGGGACTACCAGCTGGTGTCTGGGACTACCAGCTGGGGCCTGGGGTTACCAGCTGGGGCCTGGGGCTACCAGCTGAGGACTGGGACTACCAGCTGGGGCCTGGGACTACCAGCTGGTGTCTGGGACTACCAGCTGGTGTCTGGGACTACCAACTGGGGTCTGGGACTACCAGCTGGGGTCTGGGACTACCAGCTGGGGTCTGGGACTACCAGCTGGGGTCTGGGACTACCAACTTGGGCCTGGGACTACCAGCTGGGATCTCATTACACGTGGTGTAGTGGTTAAGACACTCGCCTGGCGTTCCGCGAGCGCTTTGTCCTGGGTTCGTATCCTGGCCGGGGAGGATTGACTGGGCGCCAATCCTTAACTGTAGCCTCAGTTTACCCAACAGTAAAATCGGTACCTGGTTGTTAAAGGATTTGGCGGGTCGTATTCCAGGGAACATAGGATTAAGGACTTGCCCAAACGCTACGGGTGCTAGTGGCTTTACAAGAATGTAAGAACTCTTGTATATATAAAATACAAAATAAAAAAACAGCTTGTAAGTGTACGCATGGCTGGGTATATAAGAACTTGTGTATATACAGAGGAAGACATGGGGTGTGGCGGCCGGCAAGCGAGCCTCATTGTTGAGTTGTGTTTGTGGCGAGTCTACCATTGACGCCATTGATGTCATATCGCCTCCGCCCATGTTTACGTCTATTTGATTTTTGTCCGGAGATTTGCTCGTGGATATTCGTGTAGTAATGTTGCATGTGTAGCCTGCTCTCGGCGTGTTTACATATATCTACCCGCGCGGGGACGGTTCCCAGTGGCTTTATGGTACAGGGGCGGTTTATTTAATAATAATTACAGTTTATTGTGTTCGGGGGACAGGCAGCCAGATTGTATTCATGCACGTTAGGCTTATATACAGGTCCCCTCAACACCAGGGTTGATTTGCTGACCCTGGCCAGGTTACAACCCCCGCAACAAGCTGACTAACTGCTGAGTACCTACTTACTGCTAGGTGAACAGGTGCATTGATGAGAAGATATGCGCCCAACCATTTCTGTCCCGCCCAGGACTCGAACCCGGAATTCTCGATTGTGAGTCGAGAACGAACCCGACTGTACTACCGCAACCCGTCCTCGACTCAAGTCCATTACATTCAGCGGTCAACCCCACAGACGCATTCATAAATTTTAACATGCTGTTCATTCAAAACGGGAATTTTCTCAAGTATAAATTAATATTATAATATATTAGCATATTGTGTATATATAGGCATAGGATAGGTTAGGTTAGGTGTTTAGGTTCTGTTGGCGATTATTTGTATTTGTAGTACGTGGGTGAAGCATTTATAGCGTTGTGATTCGAACAAAATTCGTCAGTGAAGCACTTGTTCCGGATATGTTCGAACTTCAGCAGTTGTGAGTCGTGTGTAAACCGCTTTTCATTCATAAACAGGGGGTTTGGCGGGTGCATGGAATCACTTTTGGATCTTTGTTTGGAGGACGGGCTGACACACGACTTGCAACTGTTGACGTTCAAACACTTCCGGAACAAGTGCTTCACTGACGACTGGTGTTCGAACCACAACGCTGTAAACAGCCGTCAGCAGCATTAAATGGCTTCCATAGTTTTTTTTAATCTACCCGTCTAATACTTCAAAAGTAAATGATAAAGTAAGGGTTTATTATTAATTATAATTTGCAAAAAAATGGTCAGGTGATAGTGTGTCAAAGACTCTCAGACTATACAAGACACAAAGGCTGAAAGACTGACAAAGTACCAGACAAAATGTATCAGGCTGCCAGAAACTGAATTGCAAACAAAAAATTAATAAGAGACTCGCAATATGTGAAGGTAAAATTAGCAGGAGACAAAGTGTTTGTTAGAGGTTTAAAATAAATGAGATGTGTAAATATTTACGTGTTGTGAAGACGTCACGAGAAACTCCCATTTTCCTTAAATTCTGTAATGGCGTGTATGAGGCTCCGGGTGAGAACACGGCTAATCACTCCAGCTGACACAAACTCCATTTAATAAGGGTGTCTAATGA